GGCGGGGCGGGGCGAGCGGGTGGCGAGGGGCAGGGTAGGCCTCCGCTCCGCGCCGCGCACGCGGGTGTTGCCGGTTGGCCTATCTTCCGATCTGCAGGGGCTCCGCCTGGCTCCGCCAGCAGCTCCAGCTCCACTGGCTGCGGTAATCCTACCACGCCAGAAGGGCGGGATGGGAGAGGAGGCGGCGACGGTAGACGAGATGGCGCCACCCTGTGGACCTGGGCCTCGGGCTTCCAGTCCCGGCAGGGGTCCACTCGCGAGGGGCGAAAGAGCGCCGGTCAGTCGCGGTGATCCCCAGTCCAAATGGTTCACATTCTGATGACCGCACTAGGGTGGGGTGACGGCTGCTGACCTGCCTACGACGTCGTCACCCAACTCCCCTCCCCCGAAGAGGCCCGCTGCCTGCCAAGGTCCCCCTCGCCATCCCTTGTCCCGTGTGTCCGTCGAGTCCAGCGGATCACGTTCCTCAAAACTCAATTCTCCTTCCCAACAGCGGCCCACCTGCCGTGGTGTGCACAAACCCGGCCCCTCGCCCTGTTTATGCAAACAAGCGCTGGGGAGGGGGCATAAGGGGCGGGCTGGGACTGCTTTAGCGCCGGAAACGGACCCGCGGTGTGCGGTCCGCCCGCCACAGGCGCCACAGGCTGCAACGGTGCCGTAGCCGTGACGAGTGCCAAGGCTCAATCCGCTCTAGGATGTCTGGTCTTCCCCTCCATCGCACACCCCTCCCGAAGTGATGCCAGCCACAGCGGGACAACTATTTGGTATTCCCGCAGCTCCGCCGTCTGGACTTCAAAGGATCGCCTGCAACTTCTGGCCACGAAAGCAGGGGACGTTACAGAGCAGCGCAAGCAGCCCTCCGCACGGGCCGGGCCCCGCCCTGCAGGTTCCAGGTGGTAACACAGGCAGCCGGTCGGGGCCAAACCCGGAGGCCGACAAAGGGCCGTGAGCTGAGCGGAGCTGAGGTGTGTGTTCATTTGCATTTAATTGGTGCGCTGTTGCTCCGGTTGTGTCCTCACCCTCTGCGTGCGCTCAGCGCAGCTCAGCGCAGCGCGGCCACCACTCGGGGTGGAGTGATGTGGCGTGGACCGTGGCCTCGAAAAGTAACGTGTGTGCTGTGAGGCTGGTCGTAACAACTGGCCACCAGCTGAGGGCGCCTCAAGCATGCTAGAGGGTTCTGTAAACTTTCACAGAAGTGCCTTTAACGTTATTGTATTTTACGAGTCCAAAATTATGACCAGTAACTTTTAACACTGCCTGGTAGGGATAAATTATTGATTCTGTGTGTCAGTTAAGTAACTAAATAAGTTTGCTCGGGTCATAAGTTACGGAGCACTGCAAGCTAGGGGCTAGATAAAGAGGTAGCTAAAGTGAAAGAAATAAATGCAACAAAACATAGTGTGGCGGGTATTTACAGATTTATTACCTTGTACAAAGTTTTTAAATATAAATTTACTGTTAAAAAATACAGTACAGCTCTCCAGGGAGGAAACAGTTTGCTGCTCAGGCATCAGTTACCTTGGGCTGCTCTCATTTTCTTTAACCTCTTGCCTTTCTTACCACTCTCTTTTATTTTTTCATTTCTTTTTTTCTGTTGTGATGACTTTTTTCTTTGTTTCATCTTTTCTATTTTATTTTTTAACTGATAGGCCTTACTATTTTTTACTTGTTTTGTAGCTTGAAGTTTGATAACCCTCTTGATGTCTTTAGCAGATTTGAGTACATTATTTTTTGTTTCCTTAGGTTCAGAAACAGTCTTCTTTTCTTTCACCTTGAGATCCATTCCGGGAATGAGTTCACTATCTGACTGGTCACCTTCATCATCTTTGTCGTCTTCATCTTCAATGGTCTCCTCTTTAATGTCATATTTCATCTGTTGAAAAAAAATTACATGAATAAAGTGCACAACAGTTTCACCTTGTATTTCATGTTTTTCAATTTATCACACTCTGAAGGAGTTATACCTGGTTTGCACCAATCCAATTATTCTGTTCAGCAAGTTCATTAGTGGACAGCTCCTTAATCTCAACTGAATGGGTCCCTAAATCATGTTCCTCCTCTAGTAAATGCTCCACTTCTGGTACAGAGCGGTGAGAGACAACCATTTTCTTATATGATTCCTTCGCCTAGAACAACAAATTTACATGTCATATATTTAGGAATCACGGGGTATAGGTGATTTGTTATCTTTATCGAAATTCTCAAACTGTGAAAGGCTAGCTCAAAACTTCTGAGACAAGCCGCCTGACTAAGGTGTGACACCTTGCCTCTCAAAAGTATATCCACCATAAAGGGAGACCTACAATGATGTTTGTCATCAGCCTACATTTGCTCTAACACTCTTAATGTGGATTCAGAGTTCACTAAACAATAGTGTAATTTCTAAACAAGCTATTTTGCAGCCAACAATGGATAGGCTTTCAAAACACTTGATGTGAAAATCAGGACTGACATGTTAATCGCGCTTGTGTCTTGTGAACTCTAAATCCGCATAACTAACAGCATTTAAAAATATGTCTAAAGTTTAAATGTGTCTTGTCAGATCTTGTATGAATGAATGTGACAAACAACAATGAGGATGGCATCTCTCTTGAAATGAAGACAATTCTGTAACTTACATCTGCTTTGATTCGCTTTCTTTCATCTCTTAACATTTGTTTTAAATTCTCTTGAAATTTTGCCTTTCTCTCGACTTTTCTCTTGTGGAACCCGGTCAAGAATTCTCTATGCGAAAAAGAAAGAGTACATGATAATTTTCAATATGTAATCAACAATTCACTGTGACTAAACTAGTACTTTTATCATGATATTGAAACAGTATTAAAATGACAAGAAAAATCACTGAATAGGGTTAATAGTGTTCCAGCGGAATGGTTTATACCTTCGAGCTTGAGGATCGAAAACAAGATTGATTTTTCGTTTCTTTTGACCACGCTTCCTTTTCTTGCTAGCTCCTTCCATGTTTTCACGGTGAGAAACCCTCTGCTATGCTTGTCAAATATCACTTAACCCACCACAGCACGTTTGTTTGCTGATAGTCACTGACAACACTGGACAACCTAACCTCAGCAGGCCCACAGCCTTCGACAAATAAACCGTCCACCCACAATCATCAGGTTACCAGGCTGTTCATTTTTAAAAAAACAGAGTTCACGACTTCACAAATTTACAATATTTTCCTGAAACTCTATTTTCTTTAAATAAAACAGCGTTAAATTTTCATGCTTCAGAAAAGTAAATAAGAATACATACAAGGGTTTGTTCTTATCACAAGTAAGAGATAAAATGCAAATGTGTGGTGTTAAAGTTGGCAAGTCCGACTTTTGAGCAATGAAAGCACAGCAGACGACAGGCCATCATCAAAAAGAACAGTTTGGTGAGTATTCAGTTTCTTCATGAAGCTCAAAGATTCTTACAACTTAGAAAACGTAATCTTGCGCCCACAAACCATCCTTGAACCAAATGTTTGTTCTTTCACATCGACAGTCAACATTTATTTACATCGACAATCTTTGTCCGTACCTCCTCTTCAAATCTTCCCAGAAGAGTTTACAGAACGTAAACACACTAACCCAGTCAGCCCGTCTACTTAAATAATACATTCACTGTCTCAACAAGAAACGGCGAGGGGATTTTAAATCTTCCTGCTATGTATTTATTGTTTGAAATAGTGCTTTTGAGGAGTGCGTACTCCTTAGTTTTGAAAACGCAATTTTTAAGTACGTTTGCAGTACTTTACGATATCAGTGTAGTTAGTAAAGTAAATGGATCGCGGCTATTGGTCGAGAATTTAGCCAATGAGAGAGACGTGACCCGAGCTGCGTGCCAGGTGCGGGATAAAGTGGGACTCATCAGCAATATGGCTGGCAGTATAAATTTGAGAGCGTTAGGATGTCTTTCTCTTGGAAGAAAATTTTTGTCTTAGTCGTTTTCTTTATTAAAATTATTAGACTTGACAAAAAGGCTTGCAGTTTTGTATGACTGTTGCCAACTTTTACTTACTTTGAACTCGGGAAATGCAGTTGTAAGAACCTTTTAAGTGCTCCACTTTGTAGGTTAAGTTGCATTATTCCATATGAGAATCTCTGAAGTAGGTCTAACGCTATCATAAATTATGGACGCACCATTGACTTGGAAAAGTAGTAATCCTATTTTTCTTTGTTTTATAGCGAGATGATAGATATTTTCGGTGTTTCCCACTTTCTTAAGGGTTGGTGATTGCCTGGTTTTTAACATCAAATTTCAAGGCTTTCATTTTCCCATTTAACGTTCCTTAACTTAAATTAAACGCTCTCAGATTTTATTGCTAAAAGACCAGCACGTTGGTTGATACATGTGTCTCTCATTAGAGGCTATGGATGCAATGACATGAAATAAAATAGCGCACACCCTGTCAAGGAATCTGGTGTTTATTTGTGACATAACCTTTATTTTCTTTAAAAAAACAGATGGTATAAATGACAAGCTCCACCTTCCCCCTAATTATTTGAACCGTCGTCTTATCAAATTTGTTGATGTATCACTTTTTGAATTAGACTGGTGATCCATAATTACGGAGAGAAATTTGACACCAATCAGCTTCTAAATTAAATTTTTGTTGCAGTTTCTGTAACTAACGTCAGGGCAGTTTTATGAACAATACGTTTGAGATTGTTAATTTAATTTTAAATTTTAACTCCTCTGTTCTGTATGAAGATCTGAAAGACTGAATAGGAGAGTCATTGATGCTCAGAGATCCTAGCCTTAGTTGTGGTTTCTGAACTGCTGATTAATTAACATTGCTGAACTCCTTTTTAAGATAACATTACTATAACAGATAATTGGTAAAAACTTTCCAGGTCAACATCTGGTTGCATCTGGATTGCAGTTTGCATCCACCTATAACATCACCCTGTGATCATTAATACATCTGTGATATAGAAAATAAGGCCTTTATCATGACATCCCGGTAAGTTATGCCGAATTTGAATGACTCTTATACAATATGTAGCATTCTCATCAATCACATTGAATCACAAAATGAATTAGAATTTGAAATGAGGAAATATCCAGAAGTTGAATGTAGTTGACACTAGTTCAAATTTTAATATTTCAGGCTGGACCGTTTATTTGTCCTGCTTGAAAGTGGATCGTCAGCAGTGACTCGCAAAGCTGCAGCTTGTCAGTTAGGCGAAGTTCAGAGGTTACATCCTCATGAATTGCACAATTTGCTTGGTAGAATACTCACATACTTGCACAGTCAGAACTGGGACACAAGAATAGCTGCAGGACAGGCCGTACAAGCAATACTTAGCAATGTACCAGAGTGGGATCCGCCTGGTGCTTTTAAAACTGGTAAGATCAAGAGAGATGATTTGATTATTGTTTGAAGGGGATGACGTTTAGCTAACATTTGCTATTACAGAGGAGGGCGAAACCTCCACATCAAACTCTGTCTTTCAAACCGGACGTCTTACATTTGAAAAGTTTGATGTAAACCAGATTATGGCTAACAGTGCACATCTGCTGGGTTCAGAGGGAAAAGAATACAACATGGATGAATCCCTCGCTGGTAAATTTGTAAATTTAAAATCTAAAGTTATATTATTATATTTGTTAAGAGTACAGTAATTATCTGACATGTGCTTTGTCAGGTTTTGATACCAAAGAATGTTTAGCTAGACAACGTCAGCAAGTCAATGCTCAATTAGGGTTGGATACTATGGCAGTTCTTGGAGTGGACACAAGTGACATTGTGTCAGAGGAAGATATTGCCTGTGCATCAAGTTCTACAATAAAATTAGAAAGCAAAGTAAGTAGTAGTTCAAAATGTTTTCTGTGCATTCAAACTTTGTTTGAAAACTAAGTTCAACTTAATAATCTTGTTTCTAGAAAAGCATATCTGAAATGCTGACTCAAAGACAAGGATCAAATATTGCCGACAATATCAGGATACGTAGATTGTCTCGTGTTAACTCTAAACAACACTCACCCAGTGATAATATTGGTGAACCAGATAACAAGCGAATCAAACTGGAGGATGGTGTAGCTGTATCTGTGAAGTCAGAAGATACACCTCCCTTACTTGGAGAAAGTGTACCTGATGGCACTGGCAGTTGGGGGGATGTGAGTTTTCTTCTTTAAAGATTCATGCTTGGTATCTTTTTTTTCTTCTACTTAGATATTTTAAGAAATTAATTTTGCTATTGTCTGTGCTCTTTCTTACAGGCAATGGAGTGGCCATTTGAGTTCTTCTGTGACCAGTTATGTGAAGATCTATTCAGTTCAAGTTGGGAAATTCGTCATGGAGCAGCAACAGCTTTGCGAGAGTTCATTAAAGTTCACGGCCCAGGTGGTGGGAAAACTGCCAATGCTACAAAACTTGAGGTACTGAAAAAAAAAACTTGTCTATTGTCACTTTACTCTCAGTTTCTATATTGTGAATTTATTTCTATCCATTCTGCATCAGATGGAAACTTTACATCAGCAATGGCTTGAGGACATAGCCTTGCGCCTTTTGTGTGTTCTGGGATTAGACAGATTTGGTGATTTTGTCTCAGATCAAGTTACAGCCCCAGTTAGGGAAACGTGTGCTCAGGCTCTAGGTATGAGATGTTTATTTTCTTCTTTGAAAAAGTCAGTAATCTTTTGGTGACATATGGTTTCCGGTCAAACGATTTATTCACTTGTTCTCTTGTTGACTTGCACTTCCTGAATCAAATAAAAATGAAGGTATGGTGTTACAAATAATGCCATCTCAGAGTGTGCACAAAGCTCTTCAAGTTTTACTCCAACTTCAGAAACATCAAGAATGGGAGGCAAGACATGGAGGACTACTAGGATTAAAATACCTGCTTGCAGTACGAGAGGTATGTTTTCTTACATTTTACATTTTTAATTAATACTTCAGGGGGAAAATGGTATAATGGTTTTGCTTGTTCCAGGACTTGGTTAGAGAATTACTTCCTCTAGCTTATCCTCATATTGTGCAAGGGTTGGCAGATTCTGTTGATGATGTTGGAGCTGTGGCTGCTTCAGCTCTTATCCCTGTTGCAGACACTATTGTAAACCTTATGGGTAGTGAGGTAGACCAAACAATTCAACAGTTATGGGATTTACTTGAGGAACAAGATGAACTTGCCGCTGCTTGTAATAGTTTTATGGGGCTATTAGCAGCTCTGCTCAGTGTCCCACAATGTCAAACTTTGCTCAGGTGCTTGGATTCACATTCATGACATTTTTCCTTTTATTCAGTACTCCTTATGCTAATAATTCTTCTTATATATTTTTTTCTTTCAAATATACAGACCTCAACCTCTATCAGTTGTTGTTCCTCGTCTTTGGCCATTTCTTGCTCATAGTACGTCATCTGTAAGATGTGCAACTCTTCAGACACTTTTTACCCTCACTGGGTCTCAAAATATTGAGTGGACTCAAGAACTCCTTCAGGAAGCCTTGCGTCATGTTTTTCAGATGGTTCTTTTAGAGCCGGTCCGAGAGATACAACTTCTGGCAGAAAAAGTATGCACTGACTTCAAATTTATTGGAAGAGCAGAAAGTTTTTTTTCTTTGACACAATATAACATTTTATCACATTTTAGGTGTGGAATAACTTATTACGAAGTGCTCCCTTGGCCCAACTTCTTATGGCAGCCTGTCCCTATGTTACAACCTGGTTGTGCCTGACTATGCAGCCAGCTAAAATTGCGTTTGATACTAATGCCTTAATTCGCTGTGTGAAGGTGAGGTCTTTTATTTATTATTCTAATATTTTAAAAACTACTTTCTTGTCTTAATCAACTTATTCAATCACTCATAATTCAGGATAAAAGCTCTGAGAAGGGATCAAAAAAGGCCAAAGCTTTCTCCTCACTTGAGTCCAACAGTACTGGGCCAGTACCAAAGCTGTATGTTGGTGGGGGACAGTCAGCACCTTCATCCAGTCATGACCCTAATGTTGTGCAAGCAAGAATATTAGCTTGCCGCATGCTTGGTAAGTACATATTCATCTTGTCACTATTTCTTTATTCATTGTTTTGAGATTTGTTGTTTTACTTTTGTATTTACCATTTCTTTCAGGTTATCTCTCCTGCTTTTTAGTTCAGAAAGCTCCAGGAGTTATTTACACCCCAGAAATGGAATCCCCTATCGAATGTTTTTCAAGAGTAATGCTTGTTCACCTAAATTCGAAATCTGCTTTGCAAAGAATGATAGCTGGATTGGTGTTGATGGAGTGGGGAAAACATTCTCATTCTGAATTGAATACCGGAGGTCTAGATGTTACTAAGGAAGAAATTCCATGTCCTAAGAATTTGGGAGACTGTTTGAATTCGTGTCTGAATGAAAGCATATACTATGATGAAATTGCTCACGCCTATACAAAACTACTACATGATGCCTGGGACTTTGTTGCTCTTCTCAAACACTATAAACTCTCTGTCCCCGGATATGATGGGACCAAACAGGTAAGAATTATGGAACACTTATATAGTTCAGTTCTATCTAGATTTATAACTTGCATTTTAACAGATGATGCATTTGATATCTATTTCATTCTAAAGCTAACTAAACTAACAGATACTAGAGGTTTTAATATTGATTCTCTTTAACACTCTGTACTAGGTTCTTACTCTAGAACAGATTCAACAACTGGCAGGACAGGTTACAGAAAAACTGCTCTCTCAACAGAAGTTAAAACCTAAAGTAGTTGACACATTAGAGCAAAGTCGTAAGAATATCCAGAAATCAGTGTCCCAGACCATACAGGATCAGTCAATTTTGCACATTTCGTAAGTCTTTAATTATAGAAATACGTTACTCATTATTGCTGTTATGGAGCCATAATTCCATTCCCTTAATTTTTCTTTTTTTTTTTTTTTTCTCAAATTTATACTGGCAGTACTCAAGCTGCAATTGCAAACTCAGTGGTTCTATTGAGATGTCTCCCTGAAAAGTTGCATCCTCTTTGCAAATCAATTATGGAGTCAATCAAGAAAGAAGAAAATGATATGCTACAAATGCTATCTTCAGAGTGCCTTGCTGTTTTGATTGAAATGGCAACCACTCGAACACCATGCCCAGTTGAAAAGATAATTACAAATCTCTGCATTTTTCTTCGCTCTGATCCTGAGTTTACTCCTCAAGTAAAACAGTCTTCAGATAACAATCGTGCAAGTAACAGTGGTGCAGAATGCTCTGGTGGAAATTCAACGGTTAGCCGAAAAGTGAGCAATTTTTGTGGTATTCCAACACTAGTTAATCAACAAAAATCAGCAGAAAGGGCTATTTACCGACGCTCCAATTCTACTGGAAGAGGCCCGGGTAGACCTCCAATTCATGATCTTCCCCCTGAGGACTTGTTTCCTGTTGATGAAGAGGCTCAGAAACGCAATCAGATCATGCGGAGAGGTGCTACATATGCTTTAAAGTCAATAACTGCACATTTTGGCAATGATTTGCCAAACAAATTACCCAAGCTGTGGGAAATCATTACAGGTCAAATAAGACCAAAACCAGAAACTGCTCCCCTAGGTCTGTTGTGTAGTATGAGTTTTAAATTTCTTGAATCACACTTATTTTGTTAGTTTTTGATAACTTGTTCATTTCAGATCTATCTCGAGATGCAGGTGGTGATCAAGCTGCCAAGGAGCTTATTGCTGATTTACAAGTACTTGAGGTTGTTAGTGATGTTCTTCATAGGGACCTGCTTCCTGAGGTAACTTTTGCAATTTCTCTTTTGAGGCCTTTTTTGTCCAAGTTTTCTTTGATCAACAAACATTTTTTACAATCTAGGTGATGAATTGCTTGCCTCAACTCTGTCAACTGCTTATGCACACCTATTCAGCTGTCCGCCATATGGCAGCTCGGTGCATTGGTGCCCTTGCTGCTCTTGCATCAGTACCAGTGATGGAACAAATAGTTGCTCGAGTTCTGCCCACTCTAGGAGCAGTTCATAATGACACCTACCGCCAAGGGGCTATAGAGGCCATTATGTGTGTTATTGAAAAATTACAAACTAATATTATACCATTTGTTGTTATACTTATTGTACCTTTGTTAGGTAAGATTTCAATGCCTGCCCTGACAAGATGTATTATGTGTCTATCATAGTTGTTATATCCGTCCTTTTGATGCTTTCAGGGCGTATGAGTGACCAAGATCAATCTGTGCGGCTATGTGCCACCCACAGTTTTGCCACATTAATTCAGCTTATGCCTTTGGATGGTGGTGTTCCTGATCCCCCCGACTTCTCCAATGATTTGTCAAAGCACAAGCAAGCTGAAAAACAATTCCTTGAACAACTTTTTAATCCTAAAACTATTGACGATTTTAAAGTACCGGTTCCCATTAATGCCCAGTTGCGTTCATATCAGCAGGTAAAATTGTTGACCCATACATGTACCTCTATTTTTATGTAAAATAGTAATTCTCTTTTAATCACTTTTTAAAAATTCACTTCTTTCAGAGTGGTGTGAACTGGCTCGCTTTTCTGAACAAATACAAATTGCATGGTATTTTGTGTGATGATATGGGGCTTGGCAAGACATTGCAGTCTATTTGTATGCTTGCCAGTGATCATTATAATCGAGCTGTACAGTACAAGGTGGTGAATTAGATTCAAGTTAAAAGATGCAGTAAAAGTATCCTAAGACTTTAATAATCTTTTTATTCCACAGAAAACAGGCAGTTTGGATTGTGCTCCATTACAGTCTTTGGTCATTTGCCCTCCCACATTAACAGGACACTGGGTTTATGAAATTGAAAAATTTCTGTCAAAAAAATATTTAAATCCTTTGCAGTATGCTGGTCCCCCACAGGAGAGAGAAAGGTAATACCGGTAGTATGATTTTCACACATCACACTCTTTTCAAAAACATATTATTAAAATCTTCATTTTTACAATCTCACCTAAATTACAGATTAAGAAACCAGCTTAAGTCAAGATCCTACAATTTAATTGTTGCCTCATATGACATTGTTCGGAAAGATATAGATTTCTTTAGTACTATTAAATGGAATTATTGTATTCTTGATGAAGGCCAATACATAAAGAATGGCAAGACCAAGGTGAGTCACTTTAATGATCTTAGCATGATTTTCATACCTATACTACAATCCCATAATCATTATCTATTTTCATGCTTACAGGCCTCCAAAGCAATTAAACAACTGGTGGCAAATCACAGATTGATCTTGTCTGGAACACCTATACAAAATAATGTTTTAGAGTTATGGTCCTTGTTCGACTTTCTAATGCCAGGTTTCTTAGGGACAGAGAAACAGTTCAATGCAAAATATAGTCGACCCATACTTGCAAGTAGAGAAGCCAAAAGTTCCCCTAAAGAACAAGAAGCAGGAGTCTTGGCAATGGAAGGCCTACATCGACAGGTTAGTTCAAAGTAAAATTAAATATGTAAGTTATCTTTATTTTCAAAGAATTTTTTTTATCTATGTAAATTAATTGCTTGCTTTTATGCACACTAGGTACTACCATTTCTTTTGAGACGAGTGAAAGAAGATGTCCTACATGACTTGCCCCCCAAAATAACTCAAGATTATTATTGTGAATTGAGTCCATTGCAGCAAAGATTATATGAAGACTTTGCTCGAACTCAAGCGCATCAGTCATTAGCAGAGACAATTGCCCACACAGATGTTGCTGCGAATGCATTGCAGGCGAATACTCATATATTCCAGGTTGATATTTAGTGAATTATACTATGAAGAATAATCAAAAGTTTATACTCTTTGTATTCAAATGTTTGACCAATAATTTTTTATTTTTTTTTCATTTATTTTATAGGCTTTACGGTATCTACAAAAAGTGTGCAACCATCCGAGACTTGTGTTACTTCCCACTCACCCTGAGTTTGAGAAAATCTCAGCTGAGCTTCGCTTACAGAATAGTGACTTGCAAGATATACAACATGCTGCAAAATTACCTGCTCTGAAGTATATTTTCATTGTATTTTTTGTCTGTTTCTCTTATCTCATATCCTAGATATATTAATAAAGTTATTCTAATTCCTCTCTGCAGGCAACTACTTTTGGACTGTGGAATTGGTGCTGAACCATCTTCAACTGCTGCTGGGCAGCCTGGTGAAATTGCAATCAATCAGCATCGAGCATTGATTTTCTGTCAGCTGAAGGTTATGCTTGATATTGTGGAAAATGATTTGCTGAAGTGCGTTCTTTTTTTATTAGTTATTCTCTGAATTTTCATTGACAGGATTTTATTCACCTAATTCCTTTTGCATTCTTGATTTACTTTTTCAGAAAAACAATGCCTGGGGTTTCATACCTTCGCTTAGATGGGACTGTACCAGCCACTCAAAGGCACGCTGTAGTTCAACGTTTCAACAAAGATCCATCCATTGATGTTTTGCTCCTTACCACACAAGTTGGTGGGTTAGGGCTTAATCTAACTGGTGCTGACACAGTAAGTGTTGTCTTCAAGCAACTGAACATGACTGTTAAAGTTTACCCACTTATTGATGCTTACTTTCCTTTGAATTTTCAGGTTATTTTTGTTGAGCATGATTGGAATCCCATGAAAGACCTTCAAGCCATGGATCGGGCTCACAGAATTGGACAAAAGAAAGTAGTAAATGTATACCGCCTTATAACGCGGGCCACACTCGAGGAGAAGATAATGGGGTATGTTATGGCTCTGCTCATAGATGAATAGATTGTTTAGCTTTAATTAAATATCTAGTGTCAATTGATTTAATTATTTTTTTTCCAGCCTTCAAAAGTTTAAAATTTTAACTGCAAATACCATCATTAGCAGTGAAAATGCAAGCATGGAAACCATGGGAACTGAACAGGTGCTACAGAAAATATGACATGAGATGCGCATATTGCTACTATCAATATCCTACTTTTTTTACTCCGTGATTCTAATAACTTTATCTCTATTTCAATTTTAGCTTCTTGATCTATTCTCTTTGGAAAATGGAAATAAGATGTCAAACAGAGCATCGAGCCAACCTGTTGGCCATGTCAGCATTCATACTATGCTCAACACACTTCCTGACCTTTGGGAAGATAAACAGTATGAAGAGGAATATGACATGAAAACATTCATGAAGAGCTTGAAGAAAAACTAAATCCATGTTGTGTGTCAAATTGTATATGGTCGGCAGCAGCAGGCTGCTTTAGTCATGAAGTCATATCATCACTAGAGATTTGCAACAGTGATGTCCAAAGACAACCCTTATTTTGTATCTTATTTACTGTTGATCATTTTTTTTGAAGAGTAATATAATTTGTAATCTTACGGTAATTTATCTCCTTTCAGTATTATGTACAATTAGCTGTTTATCTCTTTAGTGACTGTTTCTAGCCATTCAAAATTTACTTTAATTTTTGTGAATTCATTGACCAAACAGTGGTTTGAAGGTAAATCCAAAACTAGCGAGTAAAGGAGTAAAAAATACTAATATTTCAATTTTGGCAGTATTTGCACTTTTTCTTTGACCACTGCCTCTTTGTAATAGCTGTGTTTATTGGCTTTTTCTTTTAAGTTAAATGCATTTGAATAAAAATGCAATTCATTTGGGACTTAAAAGGTCTAGTTACTACCTCCTGAACACATAGTGCTATAGTTCTTTTAGTGTTTTGCACCTATACAGGCTAAGTGTTATAAGCTGTGCTTTTTTTCTGGTTACGTATACTGTACCGCATGTAGGCGTGCGGGCGGGTTTGCCTACTGACTCTCACCCGGGTAGTGCCTTCTGGCTCCGTGCGAGTATGCAACCCATCCGCACGCCTGCATTCGGTACAGTATAACCAGTAAAACGTATAGCTTAGAACACCCCTGCATGTAATTTTGTTTTGGCTAACTGAATAAATGTGAGTAGCTGGTTGCTATATGTTAATCAGCTCTACATGAAGTTTCTTTTAAATTGTTAGGAAGATACAGTAGTTGTATCTTATTTGTCATTTGGTTCAAGATCCTGTTCGCAGATTAGATTTTAATGAAGTGTAGTACTTGTTGTGTATGTATTACTGTTACAGTACTATGTACAATTTACTATCTACTTGGGTCATAGCACTACTTGTTAACGTTTTTAAAAAATCTGATGAATAATGTAAATATTTTAGGATAACTTTATGCAGATGGTTTATTTTTCCCCTGTTTCTACTCATATTTAGTAGTGAGACTAAGTTTTCATGCTGAAATTTCATTTTCAGCTTTGAAGTTGTTAAAGAGACATCCAGTGCATGTTCCTTTCCTCCTATATTTGCTTGTCATGTACCTATTTTTGTTCTTAAAGATCAACAAGCTCTTTTTTTTTCTCATGTTCAAATTCAAAGAAATCTGACATCATTCCCTTTTTTTCCTCCTTTAGAAAGTCAGTGTTTTACCCAATTCAAAAGGCAATCTCTGTAGTTGGAGAATAAGTGCAATTTATCCTCATGGTTTTTATTTGTCATCTGAAGTCTGTTAAGTCACAAACCATATTTTTCAGGGTGTCAGTAAACTAAATATTGTTCATTATCCTAAATGAGCTTGAGAATTGAAGAAAAGAAATAATTTTGATCAAAACCATCACTGTGATGCTGGTCTGACTTTTTTCTGAAGTTGAACTATAGGAAAGTGTGGTTGCTAGTCAAGTATAATATTCTGCGCTGTGCTGTTCCAAAATCAGAATGCCATAATTGCTTTTACAGAAACCACACTGACATTGCGGGATAGGTAAAGAAGTTTGATTCATGGTTTTTTAAGTCATCATACCTGTGAACCATGTATAAAATGTTAGAATGAAATTTATTTTGTTTTAAGTACATGGAAAGGCATTTTATGTCAATAGCATCAGAGCACTAGTCAATGGTCATAACTTTAACAAAACCATGTTGTGATTCATACAACTTTATTAATATATCACCATCATTAAAAGTCATTGCTTTAGAGTAAATGAGGATTCCACCTACAGCTTCTGGTCTTAGAAGTGTGTTTGTGTGTGATTCAGTCTGCTTACGTTAAACTAGACAGGATCAATACTTAGGATTTCTTTATTTTGCGTTTCACTCATTTAAATATGTAACAAAATAATGGATATGGGTGTACTAAATTTTTAAAAAACCCTTGAACTACACCTAGATGCAGATCAGGTGTAGCAGTACAAAGTAAATTCTTTAATCACCATGTTATTGCTAGGGTACCTGAGAGTGTGTGTGCTACTTTCAACATTGTTCACTGTGATATACCTTCCATGTTTATTTTGTCAGTTTTTGAAGGGTTTTTTCTGTCATGCTTTTATTGTTTGCAAGTGAGCCTTATAAGTTGTACATGAGTGAGGAATGTGTGCAGATATTTTTTTTTAGGGACCATATGATAAGCTGATGGGTATTTCATGTAGTAGACTATTTGTTTTAATGAGATTTAATGTGCAGCTCAATGAGGATTCCAGTGCATTGCACTATATCAGTTTCTTCA